GGTTTTGAGCAATTTTCTTAGCCTTGAATTCTACTTTCATTACACTGGACTTTTATTTGTAGGTGACCTGTCCTTTCTCTCTATCTGCCTTTTACATTTTTTCTTTCATTTCAGCCTTGGAGAATCTGATGATTATGTGTCTTGGGGATCATCTTCTTGTTAAGTATTTTGTGGGGGTACTCTGCATTTCTGAATTTGAATTTTGGCCTCTTTAGCCAGGTTGGGGAAGTTCTCATGGATGTTATCCTGAAATATGTTTTCCAAGTTGCTTCTGTTCTCCCTATCGCTTTCAGGGACATCAATGAGTCATAGATTCGGTCTCTTTACATAATTCCATATTTCTTGAAGGTTTTGTTAATTTCTTTTCTTTCTTTTTTCTTTATTCTTGTCTGTCTTATTTCAGAAAGCCAATCTTCAAGCTCTGTGTTTTTTTTCCTCAGCCTGGTCTATTCTGCTGTTAATACTTGTGATTGCATTATGAAATTATGTCAGTGTGTGTTCCCATTTTATCAAGTCGGTTATGTTCTTTTCTATATTGGCTATTTTGTATGTCAGCTCAGGTGTTGTTTTATTGTCATTCTTAGCTTCCTTATACTGGGTTTAACATTCTCCTGAATCTTGATGGCCTTTGTTCCTATCCATATTCTGAATTCTGTTTCTGCCATTTCAGCCATCTCAGCTTGGTTAAGAACGCTTGCTGGAGAAGTAGTGTGGTGGTTTGGAGGAAAGAAGAGACTCTGGCATTTTGAGTTGTCAGAGTAATTGTGTTGGTTTTCTCTCATCTTTGTGGGCTGATATTCCTTCAGTCTTTGAAGTTGCTGTTCTATGAATGGACCTTTTTTTCTTTTATCCTATTTGATGACCTTGAGTGTTTGATTGTGGTATAAAGTGGGTTCAGTTGACTGCCTTCATTTCTGGAAGATTTTAAGGGACCAAGTCTTGGTTCAGGACTCCTGGGTTGCATGCTGTAACTCTAGGGAACTGGTATCAGACCCCGGCTTTGTTATCTGGATCCTGGACGTTAGGAACTTGCTGTACTGGAGTGGCTGAGGTGCTCCCAGGCCACTGGTCACAGCACTCACAGCACTATGAGGGATGGTGCCAGCTAAAGCACTTCATAGGGAGGGTAGTGGCAGAGGGATTCATCCTCATTCCCACATGCCAGCAACAGTGGCAGTGCAAGAGGGTGCATGCTTGTCCGCTGCAGCAGGATGCTAGCAGGTGCTGGCCTCTGTGCAGGCATTCCCAGCAGTGGTGATGGCAGTATGGCTTAGAGGGCCAGGGGCCCCTGCTGGTGACTGTGTGTGCATTTGCGCCAGTAGTGGTGTTAGCGCTGGGATTTGGCACTGGTGGGCACAGGACTGTGTGTGCCCTCTGTGTGCATTCATATTGGCAGTGGTTGCTGCTCAGGGCAAGGGTGGGCCTGCTTTCTTCCACGCCTAGTTTTGCACCAGCTGCAGTGTTGACACAGGGGTGTGGCTTTTGGGGAGCAGAACTGGCAAGGTCCGTGCCTGCCAATGCTCTGAGGACAATGGCATTGAGTTGGGGGGAAGGGAGGGCAGGGTGTCTCAAGTGGCCAGCAGTGTCACTGCAGGGTGCATGCACACATGGACGCTGGCAGGGAAGGGAAGGGAAAGTCTGCCTGTGCACACATGTGCCAGCAAAGCAATGCAGGGGGTGGCTGTGGGCGAGTGTGTCCATGCATGACGGCATGAGGGAGACTCTAGTGGGGGGAGGGTGTGGGTGGACAGGTGCATGTTTGTGGGAGTTGCAGTGCTGGAACTCTGCTGGTCAGTTGTGGTCTGCCAGTGCAGCTATGATGTGGGCCTCCAGGTGATACCTGGGGGGTGTACTGCAAGCAGGCATGGCCAGGCTGGGGCCCTGTGAGAGGTCAGTGAACTGAGGAGTGTTCAGGTTGGATTCGCCCCTTCTAATGGGCAAGACTGACCTACAGAGTTCAGTCTATCAGTTCCCCTAGGGCTGAAATCTCCTATGGGAGCAAGTCGAGCATAGAGGAATGGGCATCCCTGGCTGTGCTCCACTACAGATGTTCTCATACCAAACCCTCTGGCTTCCACACCAGCTGGAGTTCTGCCATTTCTCTAAGCAGTTCTCCCTGCCAAGTCAAGTATCCCTGATGGCTGAGGGGTCTTCTGCCAGGATTCCAGATGCCCACAGTGAGAGTGGATTGCTGCTTGCCTGTTCAACTTACCCCATTCTGCAGGAGTTGTTGGGGGCCAAGAATGAGTCCCAGTGTGCAGTAGCCCCATGAATGGTTCCCAGCTTCCTTCCCCTTCAGACCAACATCTGTGTCTTCCCTCCATCCACTCTTAATTCCTTTCCTCTGAAGGAAAGGAGCATGCCGGAAGATCTTAAGATCTGCTAGGAGCATGCCAGTCTTCCCGATATCCTAGTCCAGGGGTGTCCAATCTTTTGGCTTCCCTGGGCCACATTGGAAGAAGAATTGTCTTGAGCCAGGCCACACATAAAATACAGTAACAATAGCTGATGAGCTAAAAAAAAAAAAAAAAAAATCACAAAAAAACTCTTTTTTTTTTTTTTTTGAGACAGAGTCTCGCTCTGTTGCCCGGGCTGGAGTGCAGTGGCATGATCTCACCTCACTGCAACCTCCACCTCCCAGGTTCAACTGATTCTCCTGCCTTAGCCTCCCCAGTAGCTAGGATTACAGGCACATGCCACCACATCCATTTAATATTTGTATTTTGTGGAAACGGGGTTTCACTATGTTGGCCGGGCTGGTCTTGAACTCCTGACCTCAAGTCATCCACCCACCTTGGCCTCCCAAAGTGCTGGGATTATAGGCATGAGCCACCACGCCCAGCCAAAATCTCATAATGTTTTTAAGAAAGTTTATGAATTTGTGTTGGGTTGGGCCACATTCAAAGCTGTCTTGGGCTGCACACAGCCTGTGGGCTGCAGATCAGACAAGTTTGTCCTATTCCCTTAGTGGGAGATATTCTTCCTGGCTGCATCTAGTTGACCATCTTGGAGCAACAATTGGTATTGATTTCTAGTTTTTTTGCATTGTAGTATGAGAGTATGATTGGTATGATTTCAACTTTTTTGAATATATTGAAGATTGCTTTGTGACTGAGCATGTGGTTGTTATTAGAATATGTTCTATGTGCAAATGAGAAGAATATCTATTCTGTAGTTGTTGGGTGAAGTGTTCTGTAGATTTCTATTAGGTCCAATTGATCAAATACAGAGTTTAAGTGTAGAGTTTCTTTGTTAGTTTTTTGCCTCAATGATCTGTCTAATGCTGTAAGTGGGTGTTGAAGTCTCCTACTATTACTGCGTGGTTGTCTAAGTCTTTTTGTAGGCCAAGAATTTGTTTTATGCATCTGAGTGCTCCAATGTTGGGTGCATATATATTTAGGATACTTAAGGCTTCTTGGTGGATTTTACCCTTTATCACTATATAATGTCCTTTATTGTCCTTCTTTTATTGGTTTAATGTCTGTTTTACCTGATATAAAAATAGTGACTCTTGCTCTTTTTTGCTTCCCATTTGTGTGGTAGATCTTACTCCACCCTTTTATTTTAAGCCTGTGTGCATTGTTACTTGTGAGATGGGTCACTTGAAGACAACAGATGGTGGAATCTTTTTATCTAGCCTTTCGCTCTGTGTCTTTTAAGTGGGGTGTTTAGCCTGTTTACATTCAAGGTTAGTATTGATATGTGTGATTTTGATGCTGTCATGGTGTTGGTAGTTGGTTTTTAGTTGATTGTATAGTTGCTTTATAATGCTTGTGGGCTGTGTGCTTAAGTGTGCTTTTGTGGTAGCAGGTGTTGTTCTTTTAAATCCATGTTTAGCACTCCCTTAGAGACTTTTTTTTAAAGACTGGTCTAGTTGAAACATATTCCCTTGGCATTTGCTTATCAGAGAAGGGTTTCAGCTCTCTTTCACTTGTGAAGCTTAGTTTGACAGGATAGGAAATTCTTGGTTGGAATTTCTTTTCTTTAAGAAAACCAAAAAAATGCTATATGCCTCATACTATCTTCTAGCTTGTAAGATTTCTACTGAGAGGTCTTCTGTTGCCTGATGGGGTTCCTTCTGCAGGTGACCTGGGAGAGTATTTCTTAATCCCCTCAGTTGGCTGGAAGTCCTTCTATGCCTTGACATTTTGAAAGCCCTTGCCTGAATCACAACTCTGTTACCTACTGATGTCTGACTTTGTAAAATCTTTGAAAGTGCTCCCTCACCTTGCGGCAATGGAATAGTCATGCACAAAAGGCACCTAACACAGTCTAACACTGAGTAACCACTCAGTCAGTGTTTGCTATCAGCTTTTCCTCATGGTGTTATTAGAGCAGAAACACATTAAACAGAGCTATCATCATAACTGCATGTATCCATGCTTTGAACAGCACAGTCCTGGGTATCATGATGGGTGTTGCTATCCCCATTTTCCTGATAGTGAAATATTAATATTTCACAGCTCTCTTGTAATTAAGGTCACAGAGCTAGAATAAGATAGTAGGAGACGTGGAAGACAGGCCTGCTGGCCTCTGGGTTGATGCTGTCTCTACCTGTGACTGACTGATAGATCCACAACTCCTATTTATTCTCTGACTTCCCAGTATTGTTGCTGTTCCCACTTACCTATAGAAGCCAATTGTATGTTTTGCTCACTATTATATTTCTAGCACTGAGAATAAAATCTGGCTAGTAAGTGATCAATAAAAGTTTGTTGCAAGAGAGACCTGATCCCTGGAACTAGTCTGGACATGTGATCTTACCTCTCTGGATTTTTCAGGTTACATTTCCCAAGAGGCTGAGAATCAAGCAGGTAGAATTGGGAAATAATTCTGTCCTAACCTCTTTACTGAAAGTGTGATCTTGGGCATGTTTTTAAGACACTTTGAACTCATTTTTATTTCTTGTTAACATGTGAATATAATATGGGTTATGCAGGGTTGGTATACTAATAAGATGTGTATGAAGAACCCAACATTCTCCTTATTTCATTCAATAGATACTTGTTGGATATGTACCTTTCAAGTATGGAAAACCTAGATGTCGGCTGTGGAAACAAAACTCATCTTCAAAAGGAAAATAAAAATCAGACCTATGCTAGATACCATGTTACACATATTTGAGAAAAATTCTCAGGCAAGTACAGTTTTTTTTTTTTTTTTTTCAATTCTGTTGAACTTGGTGTCCTCTAAGTTGCTAAAACCAACATCTGGAAACTAAAAATAATCTCTTTGATCATAAACATCTCTGTTTTTCTTTCTTATGAAAGCCCCTATTCCTGTGTTACTTTTAAAGTTTGGCAAACATTGAATAAACAATTATGTAAGACCTAAAACAATAGCCCCCAAATTAAAGATGGCTTAAAACTGTATCACTTGATAGAGTTGAATTAGTAGTTACACTAATTCTTACTAATTATCATAAGTTGCATTTTTAGATAATATGTTTATTTCACTTACATATATATAACTTTAAAAGTAAAATGTTCCCAGTTCCAAGACAGCTGAATAGAAACAGCTCCAGTCTACAGCTCCCAGCATGAGTGACACAGAAGATGGGTGATTTCTACATTTCCAACTGAGGTACTGGGTTCATCTCACTGGGGCTTGTTGGACAGTGGATGCAGTCCATGCAGTGTGAGCCAAAGCAGGATGGGGCATTGTCTCAACGGGGAAGTGCAAGGGGTCAGGAAATTCCCTTTCCTAGCCAAGGGAAGACATGACAGATGGTACCTGGAAAATCGGGACACTCCCACCCTAATACTATGCTTTTCCAACAGTCTTAGCAAATGGCACACCAGGAGATTATATCCTGCACCTAGCTTGAAGGGTCCCATGCCCACAGAGCCTCACTCACTGCTAGCACAGCAGTCTGAAATTGAACTGCAAGGCAACAGCGAGGCCAGGGGAGGGGCATCTGCCATTGCTGAGGCTTGAGTAGGTAAACGAAACAGCCAGGAAGCTCAAACTCAGTGGAGTCCACTGCAGCTCAAGGAGGCCTGCCTGCCTGCCTCTGTAGGCTCCACCTCTGAAGGCAGGGCATAGCTGAGCAAAAGGCAGCAGACACTTCTGCAGACTTAAATGTCCCTGTCTGACAGCTTTGAAGTGAGTAGAAGTTCTCCCAGCATGGAGCTTGAGATCTGACAATGGACTGCCTCCTCAAGTGGGTCCCTGACCTCCAAGTAGCCTAACTGGGAGACACCTCCCAGTAGGGGCCAACTGACACCTCATACAGCCGGGCTCCCCTCTGAGATGAAGCTTCCAGAGGAAGGATCAGGCAGCAACATTTACTGTTCTGCAATATTTGCTGTTTTGCAGCTTCTGCGGGTGATACCCAGGCAAACAGTGTCTGGAGTGGACCTCTAGCATACTCCAACAGACCTGCAGCTGATGGTCCCGACTGCTAGAAGGAAAACTAACAAACAGAAAGGACATCCACACCAAAACCCCATCTGTATGTCACCATCATCAGAGACCAAAGGTAGATAAAACCACAAAGATGGGGAGAAACCAGAGCAGAAAAGCTGAAAATGCTAAAAATCAGAGCACCTCTTCTACTCCAAAGGGACGCAGCTCCTCACCAGCAACGGAACAAAGCTGGACAGAGAATGACTTTGACGAGTTGAGAGAAGTAGGCTTCACACGATTGGTAATAACAAACTTCTCCGAGCTAATGGAGGATGTTTTCAAGCCCATTGCAAAGAAGCTAAAAACCTTGAAAAAAGATTAGAAAATGTGGCACATATACACCATGGAATACTATGCAGCCATAAAAAAGGATGAGTTTGTGTCCTTTGTAGGGACATGGATGAAGCTGGAAAACATCATTCTCAGCAAACTATCGCAAGAACAGAAAACCAAACACCGCATGTTCTCACTCATAGGTGGGAACTGAACAATGAGATCACTTGGACTCGGGAAGGGGAACATCATACACCGGTGCCTATCACGGGGAGGGTGGACGGTGGAGGGATTGCATTGGAAGTTATACCTGATGTAAATGACGAGTTGATGGAGTTGATGGGTACAGCATGCCAACATGGCACAAGTATACATATGTAACAAGCCTGCACGTTATGCACATGTACCCCAGAACTTAAAGTATAATAAAAAAAATAAAAGATTAGACAAATGGCTAACCAGAATAAACAGCATAGAGAAGACCTTAAATGACCCGATGGAGCTGAAAACCATGGCATGAGAACTACATGACACATGCACAAGCTTCAGTAGCCAATTTGATCAAGTGGAAGAAAGGGTATCAGTGATTGAAGATCAAATGAATGAAATGAAGCAAGAACAGACGTTTAGAGAAAAAAGAGTAAAAAGAAATGAACAAAGCCTCCAAGAAATATGGGACTATGTGAAAAGACCAAATCTACATCTGATTGGTGTACCTGAAAGTGACGGGGAGAATGAAACCAAGTTGGAAAACACTCTTCAGGATATTATCCAGGAGAAATTCCCCAACCTAGCAAGGCAGGCCAACATTCAAATTCAAGAAACACAGAGAATGCCACAAAGATACTCCTCGAGAAGAGCAACTCCAAGACACATAATTGTCAGATTCACCAAAGTTGAAGTGAAGGAAAAAATGTTAAGGGCAGTCAGAGAGAAAGGTCGGGTTACCCACAAAGGGAAGCCCATCAGACTAACAGTGGATCTCTCAGCAGAAACCCTACAGACCAGAGGAGAGTGGGGGCCAATATTCAACATTCTTCAAGAAAAGAATTTTCAACCTGGAATTTCATACCCAGCGGAACTAAGCTTCATAAGTGAAGGAGAAATAAAATCCTTCACAGACAAGCAAATGCTGAGAGATTTTGTCACCACCAGGCCTGCCTTATAAGAGATCATGAAGGAAGCACTAAACATGGAAAGGAACAACTGGTACCAGCAACTCCAAAAACGTGCCAAATTGTAAAGACCATCAATGCTAGGAAGAAACTGAATCAACTAATGAGCAAAATAACCACCGAACATCATAATGACAGGATCAAATTCACACATAACAATATTAACCTTAAATGTAAATGGGCTAAATGCTTCAGTTAAAAGACACACTGGTAAATTGGATAAAGAGTCAAGACCCATCAGTGTGATGTATTCAGCAGACCCATCTCACGTGCAGAGACACACATAGGCTCAAAATAAAGGGATGGAGGAAGATCTACCAAGGAAATGGAAAACAAAAAAAAGCAGGGGTTGCCATCCTAGTCTCTGATAAAACAGACTTTAAACCAACAAAGATCAAAAGAGACAA